GGAAACTTCGAATCGTAAGGGAGCGACCGTTTGAGGTAGATTTCTGCCAGCTGATCGAAGGGTCTCGTAGAATCTTCAACATATTAGTGAATAAATAACATGATTACAGGTTATTTTAATATGACTAATTTTTACGTGACAGAAGCATCAGATTAATCAAACGTAACTATTTATTTACTTATAAAACGGTTACATATAATTCAATTAATCACAGCAGCGTGGAAATTCGGAGCTGCTCATCGACATAACATAACCTCATTTGAGCCTGTCTAATTTTTCCGAAGTGTCTACTGTTCCGATGCAGGATTAATATATAACACATAACAGTCAAGCTATAAACAGAAAATATAACGCAGACCATGGATTTGCTATTAGTATATATTTGCTAGAAAATATATGCAGCATATTATGTATTATGTTATCGAATAATATTATAACATATGTTTATTTTATTACAGGGAAACGAGCAAGAATGTTGATAGTACTGGCATGGATGTTCAGCATCATATTTTCACTGCCAGTGATATTTTTGTTTGAAGAAACTCCGATCGAAGGTATGTGCGTGTAAATTAATTTAATATAAGTTATCAACTCAATAACAACGAAATAAAAACAATTAAATACATAAAAACGGCCACTTTAAAATGTTAACAAAGTTTGACTTTAAATATCTTTTTTAAGTATGGCCTTAGTTTGATATTTTTTTTTAATGTTGAAGGAAAATAATATCAGATTAGTTCACAATACTCACGTTTCTGAATCCGAATCTGAAAAATTGGAACTTCGAAGGTTTAGTTCCTTAAATTCTTTATAGACCATTCTTCCACGGTATTTGGTCAGTATTTTAAAGAACCGCTTCAATTGAGATTAATCCTGAAGTGTGCATATGAAATATATCAAAGAAAAAAGTTATATAGTGCCCATGTGCGCTTTTACCCCAGTGGTAAGCGCCACCCCTTCTCGGGGGTGAAAATATTTAACCTCTCAATAACCCCCGAAGTCGATAGCGAATTTAATTTCTAGCAAAAAATGTCATAATTTTAAATGCATGTTTTTGGATTGTTTACTCACTCACTCACAATCAACTTTAGCTGTACCAGAAAGGTAAATGTGCCTTTCTCTCAAATATTGCAATACATTATAATTACTAAAGTAGTTAGTAGTTAGTCGTAATATAGCTGAAAATTAGGTGCGGTTATTCTTTTTGATAGAGCAGTAATCATAAAGTCACCCAAAGCCAGTAGTTACTTCTTGATACATTAAGAAATCATATAACAGCCCATTGCTCTCTTTCCATAGTCTGTCGTTATCAATAGCTATGTGTCCATCAATGATCACAAAATGTAAATTTAAGGAATTTTACAGAATCTGTTGACAGGCATACTATCAGTTATCATAGTAATTTGTAGTTTAGGTTCCCAGTAGCATCTAATGCAAGTTCCTCATCGAAATATGCATGCCAACAAATGTTTTTATTTTCTCAGCTGAAGTGGAAGAAAAATTATTGTAATTTAAAACGAAAATTCCCAGTGATTGGCCATAATTTCGATGATACACTAGGACTAGGTGGATGATAAAGGATTACATTTTTTTATGGGAGCGTAGAATTTCCCAGCTCAAAAAAGGGAACCATATGCCCCGAGAAGTCACAAGCACTAATAATAATATTCAGCTAGCTGTTACCTCTCAGGGCATAAGGTTCCCCCCCGCCACTCTACCTTTTTCAAGCTGGAAAATTGTACGTTCCCTTAAAAAATGGAATCCTTTGTCATTGCTCTAGTGTGTTATTAATTATAATGTATATTGTAAGAACAGAGATTAGAGAAAGAATCTAAATAGGATAAAATATACAGGGTGTCCTATTTAAAAAAATTTTGTTTCCTTTACCACTTAGTTATTAATCACTCTGTTGAATTCGGCATATTATCCAAGCAGGGAGAATATCGTTGCCTAGATTTGGCTAAACAACGTTTTTGAATATTCGGTACCATATTTGATAATCTTTAAAGATATATTCAAGCAGCTTTTGGTTAAAATTACCTGATTCTGAATAGCAGGTAAGATATTTAGGATTTGCGGGAAATATTTTACCTTAGAAACATATTTTCTGAGAAAGCCATTTTCTGATGACAGTTGTACGCTGTATTGTCAACATAATGTTACGAACATGCATTCCGCGTGGCTCATGTACCGGTTGCATCTCGAAGCAGCATCTCGGGGTTCCAGAACCTTCAAGATGTATGAACACCATTTGTCAAACAATGAATTAGAGGTGGGATTATCACAGAAGATTCGAGAATAATACTTTTTGGTATATATATATATATATATATATATATATATATATATGTAACGATGTTATGAGTTAGTGGAGTTTTTTTTTGTTTAATAAAACTCCAACAGGAATCTTATGACTCTTGTTATCTGATCGTTCACTATGATCAATAAGCAAGTTAGTTCTATATATAAATATTACAAGAAACTTATCTAAGGTTATATTCAGCAATATTCCTTAGGCTCTAATACATTATAGTACTACTAGCTAACGTGTACACTTTAGCCACACTTTACTCTGCTTTTTCACTTTCACTCACTTATAGCACTAAATCAAACGGCTTCGTTCTCTTTAGTCTTCTTATCTGGTTGGCGTTGTCTAGGAGTTTGATGGCCTCGACGTTCACGTGTTTGGAGAGCCTTTGTTCATGACTCTCGGCAAACTTACTTATTGTCTGAATAACTGTATCCATCTGGAGGTCTCGATGAAGATCACAGTTTCTAAAGTACCATGGAGCGTTAACGATGTTCCTTAATACTTTATTCTGATATCGTTGTATATGTTGTATGTTGCTTTCTTTTGTACAGCCCCATAGCTGTATTCCGTATGTCCATATCGGTTTAAGGACTTGCTTATATAATAGCAATTTGTTGTAAATAGACAGAGTGGATTTTTTCCCTATCAACCAGTACATCTTTCTGAACTTAATTTCTAATTCCTTCTTTTTTTTTTAACATGTGCTTTCTAACGTAGCTTGGAATCTAACGTCATACCCAAATACTTTGCCGTATTTGCATAAGGTATTTGGTTTCTATTTATATGTACTGGGATATGTTGTTCTCTTTTGTTAGTAAAATTGACATGAACAGATTTTGTTTCATTCAATTTGATACGCCATCGGCTGGTCCAGATGTTAATTTATTCAACAGAGTTCTGTAGCATGGTAGCTGCATCCTCGTGGTTTTGTCCGACTGCTAGAATGCATGTGTCGTCTGCAAATGTCGCAATTGTGTTAGGTTCTAATGATGGAATATCGCTGGTATAGAGCAGGTATAGCACTGGCCCCAGGACACTTCCTTTTGGAACTCCTGCTTTAACTTCTCTTAGTTCTGAATATGCTTCCTCATATTTAACTCGAAAGTATCTGTCGTATATATATATATATATATATATGATTCTAGTAGTTCAGAATATTGTTTTGGTAAGTAGCATCTCATTTTATGATATAGTAGGTCATGCCACACCTTGTCAAAAGCCTGCGCTACATCGAGGAAAATTGCGGTACAAACTTTTCCTTCTTCTAGAGCTTTTTCTATGATATCTGCTATTCTATGCACCTGATCTATCGTTGAGTAGCTTGCTCTAAACCCAAACTGATAATTAGGAATTAGATAGAATATTATGAGAAAAAATTTGATACCGAAGTAATAAATGAAGGCGAAGAAAACACAGAGCTAGAGCAAATAAGTAGAGAAGAAGTAATAGAAGGATTATCAAATATAAAAATAGGCAAGGCAGGTGGAGACGACGAAATTGAACCGGAAATGGTAAAATACATGGGAGAAGAAGGAATAAACTGGCTATGGAAAATATATAAAGAGGCGTGGGAAAAACAAACAATACCTAAAGACTGGCAGAAGAATATCATCGTGCCAATATACAAAAAAGGAGAACATGTAAACTGCGACAACTATAGAGCAATATGTCTGTCATCGGTATGTTTTAAAATATATACGAAAATAATAGAGAAGAGACTGAGACAAGAAGTAGAAATGGTATTGGGAGAAGAACAAACGGCATTTAGACCGGGAAGACAGACAAATGACAACATATATATCATTAGAAACCTAATAGAAAGAAGCATAGATACGGGCAAAAAACTAGTATTAGCATTCATAGACCTAAGAGCAGCATTTGACACGATAGAAAGACATATTATAGGGAAATGCTTGAGAAAAATAAATGTACCTAATGCATTGATAAAAATTATAGAAAGTACTTACAAAGAGGTAAAAGGAAGGGTACAAATAACAGGGGAAAGATCGAAAGCATTTAATTGGAAGAGAGGTATTAAACAAGGAGATAGTCTCAGCCCTTTGCTATTCATAATAGTAATGAACGAATTGTTAAGAAACACTAGAATCAGAACCAATCAACTACAGACAATAATAGGTTACCACAGATTACAACCTGTAACAATAGAGTCCTTAATGTATGCAGACGACATAGTACTAATAGCAGATTCCGAGAATAAAATGCAGAAACTAATGGATATATGGGTAGAACAAATAGAAGAACTAAAAATGGAGATAAACGAGAAAAAAAGTAAGATAATGATAATCAGCGGCAATGGAGATCAGGAAGATAATCAAAAAAAGATAAAATGTAAAAACTCAGAATTAGAAATAGTATCAACTTACGAATACCTGGGAAGTATAATAACTAATGATGGAAAAATAGACTGAGAAATAACAAATAGAGCAAAGAAATCAAACAAGTTATACTATGCGTTAGCCCCAATAATGGGAAAAAGAGAACTTACACGAGAAACAAGAATAAAAATATATAACACAATAGTGATACCGAGTGTGCTCTATGCAAGTGAAAACTGGACAATTCTGGAAAAACATAAGAGCAGGATAAACGCAATGGAGATGAGACATCTAAGAAGGATAGTTGGAAAGACAAAATGGGATAGATTAAGCAACGAGAGACTATTAGGAGAATGGCCAACCAGGAACCGATAATGAACAAAATAGCAAAGAGACAAATGAACTGGTATGGGCATCTGACGAGGATGCAATCCAATAGAATAACAAAAAAAGTTTATGAAGCAAAAAATATCGGAAAAAGAAAAAGAGGCAGACCAAGAAAAAAATGGATACAGCAAGTAGTAGAGGCGAGAAAATTTAAACAAAAATCACTCGAGGAATTGAAAATAATGGCAGGAAACAGAAAAGAATGGAAGAGGTGGGTAAATGGAAATTAAAATAGCTAGCCCAAATCCGACACCCTGATAGGGTAAAAGGAAGGGGAGAAAGAAAGAAAGAAAAAGATTTTTTTCCTCTATAATCGGTTTTAGTCTCTTCAAGAGTAATTTTTCGTATAATTTAGACATGACAAGTAACAGTGAAATAGGCCTATATGATGTAGTTAGTGGAGTTGATAAGATAGTACCGAACTGTAAAGTTATAAATAAATATATTTATATAAATTCGAACCGCTCGTTTTATTTAATCTTGCTACAATAATATGTACCAATTTCATTGGAAAATCACTCTTTCAAGCATTTCTAACTCGGAAGTTAATTTAGTTTTCATTTATTTATGTCAATTTTTCATACTTGTTTTACTTCGAGATACGTATACAGATCATTTTTATTCATGGCCTGTATATGTTCGTCATTTTATATATAGGATAAATCTTTCCTCTGGCTAAATTAAGAATAAGAATCTAATTGGATGAAGTTGTATAAAAAAGCACATGATTTTTAATTTTATTAAAAAATGTATTATAAAAATAGTTACACATTTCGATTTGTTTTACAGTTTTGTTTCACTTTCTTACGAATGTTTTAATTTACAGATGTTCCACAGTGCTGGATCGACTTGAAACAGCAATGGCAATGGCAGGTGTACATGACATCGGTCGCAGTAGCTTTATTTGTAATTCCAGCGTTAATAATAAGTGCGTGCTATACAGTTATTGTGTGGACCATATGGACGAAGAGCAAGCTACTTATTCCCATGGGACATATACCCATTAGGCAAAGTAAGTATTTTTCGGATGGTTCTTTTTTTATTTATTTATATATTAGCCAAAAGAATTACATTATTAAATTATCTTACTCTTTCTTGGCTACGTTTTCAGTTTTTTTTATTAGTCAAGTCAAATTTATTGATCACATGCGGCATTATACAAAGTACATGTATGAGACAAGTCAAAAATACAGACATAAATCTTAAAATTATATAAATAAATTAAACACGATAAAACATACTTAAAAATTATTTTTGGAATATGGCTCTAACTCACAAATGTATTGATGTACACACCTCCGAAAGTTTGGCTGATGCAAATTCATTCGTATATCTATTGGTAATTTGTTAAAGAAACTTATGGCTGCATAATGTGTGCTACCTTCCAACAAAACAGAACGATGTTGTGGAAGCATAAAGTAATTGTCTCTGAATCTTGTTGAATAAACATGGTTAAATTGAAATTTATTAAATTGATAAATTTTGCTATGCAAATACATTATACACGAAAATATATACAGACCAGGAATTGTCAGAATATTGTTTTGTCTAAAGATGCCTCTACAAGAATCTCTAAATTTCATTTTATACATTATCCTAATAGCTCTTTTCTGAAGTACGAATATCTGCTCTAATTCAGAGGTACAACCCCAGACTTCAATGCCATATTTGGCTATTGAGTAAAAATGGGCAAAGTATACTGTTTTTAATATTGACGTATGAAAGAAACGTGAAAGAATTCTTAAAGCATAACATGCGCTTGTTGTGTTTTTTGTACTCCATAGGGTATTGGATTGTATGATGAATAAAGATTTTTTACTTTTTGTTTTTTATTTTTCACACATGGATACATCTGTCATATATATGTTATATGTCAAGTCAAAACTTCTTCTTCTTTTTTATAAAATCAGTTGTACCAACTGCTAAGTACAAAAACATTAAAACATAAAAATCCTAACATAGCCCCCCTTTGAAGGGAACCTTCAAAATATAAATAATGTGTATTTCACGATAATTGTCTTTATTAATTTTCACTTGAAGCTTCATCTTGGAGAGGTAGTGGATGTAGATGTCTCACAGATCGTTTTAGGACACCTTTTGTAGTGGACACAAGGGATACTCGATGAATACCATCTGGACCAGGAATCAGCTGCAAAATTCGACCTAGTTGCCATTTTTGTGGTGGTAAGTGGTCATTACGGATTAATACCAGACTCCCAACTGAGAGTTTTGACTGTGGAGACTTCCATTTATATAGTTGATGGAGCTGGCTGATGTATTCTTTTGAAAATCGATTCCAAAACTGTTGTTGCAAACGTTGAACAGCTTGAAGTCTTGTGGTTCTATTTTCTGCTACTTCCAGTAAGTCTAAGGAAGGAAGAGAAGTAATAGGATGGCCCAAAAGGAAGTGGGAAGGAGTCAGAGGCTCGTAATCATTTGGGTCATCTGAAATTGCATAGAGCGGTCTTGAATTTAAAATGCCTTCAATTTGAATTATGAGTGTTAAAAACTCTTCATAGGTTAAAATAGAATTTAACAGAGTTCTTTTAAGATGATGTTTCATTGATTTAACTGCGGCTTCCCATAAGCCACCAAAGTTAGGACTGTAAGGAGGAGAAAAATGCCAACTTATATTATTGCTAGTTGCATAATCTATTAATGTATTATGATTATTTTGAATAAACTTGTACAATTCATTGAGTTCGTTATATGCACCTTGAAATGTTTTACCATTATCAGAATAAATGTGGTTGGGTATTCCCCGACGTGAAACAAATCTTCGCAGACATGCTATAAAACATTCTGTTGTCATATCTGAAATGAGCTCAAGGTGAATAGCTTTAGTTACAAAGCATACAAACACACAAATGTAACCTTTTGTTGTTTTTGCACCTCTTCCCTTTCTGTCTTTTATGTTATATGGACCGGCATAATCTATTCCAGTGACTTGAAATGGAAAAGATGGTGAAATTCTATTATTAGGTAAGCTACCCATAGGGGCAATGGATGCAACTGGTTTGTGTCTAAAACACTGAATACAATTCTTGACAATTTTTTTTGCAAGAATTTTCCCCCCAATAGGCCAATATTTTTGTCTGACTGTTGCCAATAGTAATTGCGGCCCTGGATGTAATAAATAGTTATGTTTATGAATAAAAATTAGTTTAGTAAATGGATGATTTGAAGATATAAGGATAGGATGTTTAATATTTGTTTGTAAATTAGTATATTTTAATCGTCCCCCTACACGAAGAATACCTTGCTCATCCAAAAAAGGACATAAAGAAGATAATTTATGGTTACGAGGTAATGGTTTATGAGACAAAAGAATTAATGTGTCATTAAATGAATCCTTTTGAGCTAGTTTGATTAATGTTAGCAGTGCTTGATCAACTTCAATTGCTTGCAATGGACCCAAGTATTGATTGGTTTTATTTTTTGAATTATGAATAAATCTTTTACAATATGCAATTGTTCTGACTAACTTTAAATAACTAGAAAACTTTGTAAATATCTCTAACGAATTGACAGAAATATTTGAAAGAATTGTTGTTGGAATCCTTTTTAATTCTGGTAATTTTGATTTGGATATATTAAATGAATATTGAGGCCATTGACTGTTTGGTTCACATAAAAACTCTGGCCCTGTCCACCATATATGGTGGCATTTTAATTTGTTTGGTAGTATGCCTCTGGAGGCAACATCAGCAGGATTTGTTTTTGTATTAGTATAACTCCAATTTGAGATAGAAGTTAAATTTTGAATTTTTGCCACTCTATTGCCCACAAAAATTTCTAGAGAGTTTGGATCTGTTTTTAACCAACAGAGCACCACTTGTGAATCAGACCAATAATAAAATGGTATATCATTAGGAAGATTGAATAGTGATGTTTTTACTTGAATAGATAATTGTGCAAGTAATAAGGCTGCACATAATTCCAATCTTGGAATTGTTAATGACTTAAGTGGTGCCACCTTAGTTTTCGAGCATAATAGTTGTACATGAAATTCTCCTTGCGAATTTGAACTGCGTGCAAAAATGCATGCAGCATATGCATCACGAGAAGCATCACAAAAACCATGGATCTCTATCAATTTATACTCATTTTTTATAACATATCTAGGAATGGATAATTGATTTAATTCTGACAATTCAGTTCTAAACTGTTGCCATTGTAAAGATAGATCATCTGGAATGGGTTCATCCCATGCCATGTTTAATGACCATAATTTTTGTATCATTATTTTTCCTATAATTATACAAGGGCTGATTAAACCTAATGGATCATAAATTTGTGCTATATCTGAGAGTACCTGTCTTTTTGTAAGTGAACTCGTTAATGGATAAATATTTTTATTAATTGAATATTTTAAAACATCTAATTGACTGTACCAGTATATACCTAATGTTTTTGAAGCATCATTTTGTCCTAATTTTAATATGGCTAATGAATCATCATTACTGGAAATGGTTTGAAGAACATTTGGATTGTTAGAAGTCCATTTTCTTAGAGGAAATCCAGCAGAATTTAGAATGAATGAGACTTCTTGACATGTTTGAATTAATTCAGAGATACTATTAGAACCAGTGAGTAGATCATCTACATAAAAGTCTTTTAGAATTGTTTGTGATGCTAATGGAAATGAATTTATATGTTCTTGAGCTAATGTTTGTAAACATTTTATTGCTAAATATGGAGCTGAAGTTGTTCCATAAGTCACTGTATTTAGCTCATAAACTGAAAGGTCTTGTTCTGGATTATCTCTCCAAACAATTCTTTGTAATGACTTATGATCATTGTGAATTAAAATTTGTCTATACATTTTTGTAATGTCTGCAGAAACTACATATCTAAACATTCTAAATCTTAGTAAAATACTGATAATATCATTTTGGACTTTTGGACCAATGTATTGTAAATCGTTTAATGAGTAGCCTGTAGAAGAAGCACAGCTACCATCAAAAACTACACGTAGTTTTGTTGTGAGACTTTCTTCTTTGAGAACACCATGATGTGGTAAATAATAGTATGTTTTATTAGGATTATCTTGTGACATATCTATCTTAGTCATATGATTTAAGGAAATATATTCTTTAATAAATTGTGAATATTGAATTTGAAAATTGTTGTTTTGATTAAATCTTTTTTCTAGATTTACAAACCTGGTACAAGCTGCATTGAATGAATCCCCTAATACATCAGGAGATAGTTTTAATTATAACTTTACTACAAAACGACCCTCTTCATTTCTAGTAGTATTTTTGTGAAAATGATTTTCACAATCTGATTCATCTTTTGGCAAGACTGAATTTACAGGTACTTCTTCTAGTTCCCAAAATCTTTTTAATTGAGCATCTTCTGAATATATTGTGTTTGCAAAATTGCATCTGGATAATGAAGTTGATACAGGACTTTTTCCTGAAACAACCCAGCCTAGTTTAGTATTTTGTAAAATAGGTAACCCGTTACCAAGATATATTTTTCCTTCTGTTAGAAGGTCCCAAAAAAGATCTGCACCTATAAGCATATCAATCTCTCCAGGTTCAAAAAATTGTTCATCTGATAATTGAATATTTTTAGGGATAATTAAAGATGGGTGGATTAGTTTTTCTGCAGGTATTTCACTGCATATGTTGGAAATCACATAACATGAAATTGTTGTTTGATAATTGTCAATTTTAGAAAAAATAGTCAAATTGCATTTTTTTGATAAATGTGATGTTACTTGATTAATTCCAACTATGGATAGTTTTGAATCTATTAAAGGTATGTCAATTTTATTGCAAAACCCTTGTGTAATTAAATTGTTTTGTGAACCACTGTCTAATAGAGCTCGACAGTAATGTTGGTTGCCTACCGTATCTTTAACATAAAAGCCTACAGTGGATAATAGAATTTGTGTATTTGAATGTTGAGGTTGTATGAATAAATTGGTAGATGTTGGATTATTGGATTGTTCATGAATTAATGAATTATGTTTTACATTGCAAATTTTGCAAGGCCCTAAAT